TACAATTCGTTTTCATGGCATACAATTCATTTAAAGTCAGATGATATATGCAGTGTATATGTAACGATACATTTAATAATTGACCAATCAGAATTAAAGCCCTCTATGCTAGCCTAACCAAACCCATCCCTAGCCGTAATGCCGTAAGTAGTCACTACTCTGAGAAATGTCTGCATCATTATTCTTCACACAGTACCCATCTAAATTTGATTCTAAAACAGCGTTATAATCTAATATGTGCAAATACTTATTTATTAATTTCTTGTATCGATGTTAGTGGAATTAAAATAAAAATCAAATTATAGTTAGGTAACTGTCAATTATCATGTATCTTTGTTGAAGTTCAAAATTAAATCCCTATCAGATTTTTTGATAATATTTGAACACTTTGTGTTCATTCTTTTTAACATCGATTTCTTTAAATTAATGACCGACCATAATTATTCCAACATCATAACTTGCACAGGTTGAATCAATGAACATCGGGTGCATACCGAGAGACAAGTTTCCTGTTATGTACCCGATAGTCTATCATAGATCCGCCAAATACTTGCAGAATATCAGCGCATATTGGCGGAATATTGGTAAAATATCGGGAGGTAGATCGATATCAGCAACACAACAGCAAATTATCTGACAGGTCACTGACGGGAAAATTTTTACATTATTTCCGCAAATTTTTATTATCATAAAATCATGTGACAAATTCTTATTAATTTTAATATAAAATCTGCAGAAGTAATATAAAATTCCTTCCGTAACTGTATACGTCATACCTGCAGATAACAAGAAAATATTTGGATATCCCGATATCTTACTTTTAGGCCCAAAGCACTAATACCGTGCTGTTATGTTACCGATATCGATCTACCTCACGATATCTTACCAATATGCTGCAGGTATTTGGCGGACTATCGGGTATATAACAGGAAACTTGTCTCCCGGTATGCACCCGATATTCATTGGTTCAACCTGTGTTGTTTTACTGTTACGTACCAATTTAATCATGAATATAATAACTTCTTTGTAGATCTGCAACTTGAGCATTCATTAGTAAATACTGTATATATAGAACAATTTAAGAATTTTTAGAACATCCAAAAACAAGTCGTTTTATTTTAGGATAATCCGAAAACCAACTTTACTCCCAGCTATAAGAAATAACTTTGACCGAACAGGAAAAAAAAAATTAAGATCTTCCTTTACGAGCTTTTATGATTAATGATTATCAATTCACAAAACCAGTCAATTCACAAAACCAGTAAATTTACTGTGTGTTATCTTAATCCTAAAAATTGCTTTAAATAATAAACACTAGCGGAATGTTATATATGTTATGTTATAGTTATTGCATAATTACAGTATTTTAATACATTACTGCAATAACATTATAATATTTAGATAAACAGCATTATGGTATTTGGCATTACGTCATTACGGCATTGCGCGTCACGACACAAAGTAATTACGGAAATAATACGGTACATGCCATAACCGTATTAATTTGCCAAATTAATTCTACCACCAACACTATCTATAATTGCACTTCGCATTGGGGTGGGCGATATACTATGTAAATCAAAACTATATGTAGTTATATAATAAAATTTATTAACGAAAATTTTTAGCAAAGTAATAATTCTTACAAATTTAAATACCCTAACGGCTCGATAGTTTTGGATAAAACTTTGCAAAGACCAGTACTACATCACTACAAACAAAGTTACAGAGCTATTTTTTAAAAAAGAAACCAACTAAGTCCTTACTTGCCTTTTTTAAATAAAAAAAAACATATATAGTGTATTAAACATTCATATTTAAATAGATAAAATAGCTCTATAACTTTGTTTGCAAAGATGTAACACTGGTTTTTGCAAAATTGGATTCAAAACTATCAAGTCGTTAGGGCTGTGCATCTATTTAAATTTGCAAGAATTATTATAAAATTATTACTTTGCTAAAAATTTTCGTTAATAAATTTTATTATATAACTACATATAGGTTTGATTTACATAGTATATCGCCCACCCCAACTTCACATGCACTTTCCCTATAATGATAAGTGCACATAATTTGATCGGTCCAATGTACTGTAATTATTTAATATCATCGTTATGTGTAGATTATGTTTCATATGAATGCATTTTTACCCGAAAACGTGCAGTGGATTTGGAAAATCTACTCTTATTTCGAAATAACGCGCAGGTGGACGTTGTTTTGTGCTTATGTGGTCACGTCATTTATAGTCATCAAAAAACTCATATAATTTCAAATAACATCTTGTCTATTAATTTAAGTGGTATTAAAAATATAAACCTAAAGCTTTTCTTTCATATTTACGGTTTACTTTTTTTTAATCTTTTGTTGCTTGATGAAACTTTAAAGGTAAAATATCAAATTTCGGACTAATATTTTTTTTTTAGTGATATGAATTTTGGCCAATAATAATCGAGACACATGATTAAAATCTATAAAAATTTCGGAAAGTTTGATGAGTATAGGTGACTTGAACCATATGGTATCTAACGTTAAGAAATTAGCAAAAGAGGATTTGATTATATATAGTCAGCAATTTGGTTGGATGGTATACGAAAATTGATTATAATTATGTAAGGCGCGCGAACCATCTCGCACAAAATTCTTGATTTTTTTGGGCTTACTTGAAATATAATTGACCAGAGAAATTTTTCGGGGTAGTAACGCTATACAGCATACTACCCTAGTGTTGTCGGTAGAACTAATTTGGCAAATTAATACGGTTACGGCATGTGCCGTATTATTTGTCGTAATTACTTTGTGCCGTAATGCCGTTATATTAAATACCATAACACTATAAAAAAAGTTAATCCGTGTTTTCTAATCCATGTTTTATCCATAAATGCTGCATATTTATGGAATTTGTACCTTCAAATGATGGAATTTATTCGGCTTACCCAATCATGTCGCAGATTCAAGGAGTGTTTACAGAAAATATGGAGATATAATGGAAATATTCCAATAAAATTTTTTATAGGGTAATGCTGTTGTATTTAAATATAGAGTTTGGACCCGGATACCCGTTTTGATGTACCCGTTTCTTAAAAGATATATCCAGATAACTGCTGGTTTTTTAGCTTGCAGATATCCGGATAAATTCTACAGATGACCGGATAACCTTCAGGATATCTATATAATCGTACGGATATCCGGATAAACCAGATAACATGAAGTCAGATACGTTAATTGAATATAACACTCAAGAGTAATGTTGGTCACTGGAACGTTCCAGTGAGAATTACTTAACTGAATGGAATTGGAAGCATAATAGCTTCCAGTGGCCGAATGTCCAGTGAAAATTTTTGTCTAGAATGGTAGTTCCAGTGATTTCTGGTGACTTCCAGTGACTTCTTATTAACCGATTCGAATCAGTTACCTGAAATCATTCACGGTGTAACTTCGTGCATAACATTGTGACATATGGTGCACATGCCATATTATGCGCTAAACAAGATACATAGGCATATGTATATGAGATTCAAAAGACCAGCTTTAAATTGGGTTGTTTAGGTACAGATATAATTATAATGAACCGACAAGTTATAACATTATGTCAGCACTTTTAATATTTTACCGAATTTTATATTTATTGATTCAGAATATTGAACTATTAAAATAGATGAACGAGATAACGAGATACCATGAATCGCATAAGAATCGGTGGGATTAAATTAGCAAAACAAATTCCAAATCAATATTAGAAATACTTATTTGCTATGATGTATAAATCATTTCATTCGTGTTAATTTGGTCTACAAATCAAGATCATAAATGCTTACCATATTGTCGCGGAATAATGCGCAGAGTATAGTTTCAAATTTTTGCCTAAATTAAGCCTATTACTCTAAATAACACCCATGGGCATTATTTCGCAACATTACAGTATTTACCATTATTATATTCGGCTTGTGGGTATAAACCATTTATTAATCAATATTATTTTAAACGGGTAGGCAGCCTAGATCTTATTAGGGTCCAGTGGATACCCGCAGATTTCCGTTAGGTTATCCTTTTGGAAACTGGCTGATAAAGGTTCTTACCCGTGAGGCATTTATAGATCCAGATATGCGGTTAACCGTACGGATATCCGGATATGCAGTTGACGGGTCCAAACTCTATTTAAATATTATAATGCTATTGCAGTAATGTGTTAAAAACTGTAATGTTGCAATAACAAAGGATAACATTCCTCTAGTGTTTATTGTTTAAAAGTAATCTTTAGATTTAAGATAACGCACAGTAAATTTACTGGTTTTGTGAACTGATAATCAATGATCATCAAAGTTCGTAGTGAAAGATCTTAATTTTTTTTTTTTTTTTTTTTACTGGTAGTTTCTTATAGTTGGGAATAAAATTTGTTTCGGATTATCCTAAAATAAAAAGATTTGTTTTTGGATGTTCTAAATTCCCAAATTGTCCCAAAGTATCCTAATTTGCACTATTTTTTTATTATTGCAAAAGCAATTAACGATTGACGTAAATACCCAAGCTGCAGATCTACAACGTAGTTATTATGTTCATGATTAAATTGGTAATAGTAAAGAAAGTTATGTTATATATATTTCAGTCATGAGTGAAGTTTTGTGTCTACAAAAGAAGCATCGATGGAGTGAGCGAAACAAAATAATATCAAATTCACTTGATTAAATTAATATGAAAAGTATAATATATAAGGGTTTCAAATGATATTCATATTTATTGTTAATTCCATTTTAGATTATATAAACATGAATCGCCAAATGCACTGTTTAATTTGACATTAAAAATTCTATATTTGATTTTTATCTCCTTAAATTATATTAATTTTGAAAGCTCCTAACAATGATTCACAAACACCTTTGTGTGTGGTAGTGAAAATCGGAGAAGAGGAAGTTGTGGAAGAGGAGGTCGTGGAAGGGGAAGTCGTGGAAAAGAAAAAGAACACGTGTTGAATGATGAACCTTCTACACTAAATAATGAATTTAATGACTCTGATTTAATTAGTGAAAGGGAAACAGCCGGTAAAGAAAAAAAAAATCCTAAATTTATTGGAAAATTTACTATTCATATATGCAGTATCGAATACTTCAAATATCACAAGTAATCCAAGTCATAAAATATTGGCAACATCAAATGCTAGATGTTAGTAATTATTATCATTATTATTAAATTATTATTATTTGCACATTTTATTAAAAAAAAAAAATTTACTTTAATAAATAAGCAACATTAATTATACCAGTTTATGAAAGTATTGCCGACTCTGAAGATTGTGATATTTCAATAATGGAATCAACTACTAGTAGTCGAAGTAAAGTCAATCGTCAACGACAAAGTAAAGTTTCAAAGCTATCTGAAGATTATAATATTTTAACTAGGGAATCACCTACTAGTAGTCGAAATGGTCAACGACAAAGTAAAGTTACAATGCCATCTGAAGATTATAATATTTTAAGAGAATCATCTACTAGTAGTCAAAATAAAGCTAATCACCAACGGCAAAGTAAAGTTACAGTATTAGATTTGCTTCAAGTGTCTGATAGCGATGATAGTAATAATAATAATAATGATGTTGGTATGTTTTTATCTTTAATTAAATTTTACAGTAGTTACTTTGTTTTCTACTGCATTTTGATTATAAAATTATTTAGGTTACTATTAAGAAACTTATAAGGATCAAACGAAAACAAAAAAGCAGCAAAAAAATAATATTAATGAGCATAGTGATAATGATGATAGTGTCGACTATTTTAAAAGAACAAGTAAATTGAAACAATATATTTTATAACTTTAGATAATTTATTAGCTTGTTAACTGAATTTCTGTTATTAATTTTAGAAAAGCCTAAGCCTCTAAAAGATATGAGCAACATCTTTAAAGTTTGCCAATGGCTTGTTTTAATAAGACCAGATATTTTAGTAGCAGCAAATCAAATGCGCAATTCTATGTATATATCGATAGATTCACCTATAACTGCGATACCCCAATCTGAAGTAACAACATCAACTAATATTAGTGAAGACAAAGTATTATCTCTAAATTTATATTTTGTATTACTTGCAATAAACAAGAATTAATCTTTATAATTTTTATTGTTTAGGAGCTTGCACGGCTTTGGCACGAAGAAATGAAATGTCTTTTTCTCAGGTGCAGAAATCCAACGGTCAGAGTAATTGAAAATCTTATTGTAAAAATATTCATTTATGAACTCTACAGTAATGAGGCTGTAGAAATTATTTGCTATTCAAAGCAAGTATTAACAGACTTCCGTAGCAAATTTAACCAAAAAATTGCTATATTAATACAAGAATTTAAAGATAGACTGCCAAGTGAGAAACAAGTTTCAACTCCATCAAGAATTGATATGAATGAGTATATAACTCAAGAAGTTGCTGAACAAACATTAAAAAGATATTTAAGCAGCACTGATATGGATAAGCTCAAAAAGTATAGAACTATGGAAAAGCTTTTAATGCTAATAAGAAAAGCGTTTAAAATATATTATTATGCTTACAATACCAAAGCCGTTAAGGAACTCGACTATCTTACAATAGACTGCAAGATCCCAAGTAGATCTGGCAAAAACATAGCATCAAGACTCTTGCTAAATAATAACAATAGTCATAACTAAGAAGCATAGATTACTTTTCTTATAGCAATATTTAGATTTATTTGTCAATGTTATATATAGCTTTTAGAGCTTTAATAAATTATGCAATTAAATAATAAATTATACAAATAAATAATAAATTATGCAAATAAATAATAAATTATACAATTAAATAATAAATTATGCAAATAAATAACAGTCACACGATTTGTCATGGTGTAATATTTTTTATATATAAAAGTACAAAAAAAACATATAAAATTACTATGAACTTTGATTCTGTGATGTTTCTTCCCCTACATATTAACTTAAAAATAAATTTTACAATCAAATATATCAAGAAAAGGCGAATAAAAAT